TGTATATATGTCGATATTTACTTGTTCTGCTATTAGCATTAAAAATCAATCAGTGGTGGGCATTCAAAATTTGATTTTGCCCAAATTGATTGCAAAGTGTCGGTGTATTTTTTAAGCTTTACATGTGTATTAGGGTGTGCCGCATGGTTCAAAACAAACAAATATGGTTTCTCCTTTTAATGATATTTTTAAAAGTATATGCTCACCTAAATTTCAAAATAACTTAACACCACTTTTGATAATTTTATAGACGAAGGAAAAACGATATAATAGAGTTTGAGTTTCAATTATAAAATGGTTATATATTGGTTATATCTGACAGCGGAAACGATATGTATCAAACACTTATTTTATTCGATTATAATTCACGTAAAAAAATAGTTATTTGTATGCCTCATTCAATATTTTGAGATTATATGAAAAAGATTTTAAAGCAAAACTTGTATATCCTTTAATTTTTTACAAGTTTGCCATATAACGGTTTTCTATAGGAATCGTAGTTTTGACGGAAATCGATCTTAACTGTTTTCAACTCTTAAAAATTCAACCGCGCAAGTAACTTTCAGCTTCCAGTCCTAAGATCGCCCTTACATTATTTTTGCTTAATTTTTTTTTATCTTTCGTTTTCAATGGGTTTTATCATACTATGATTTCTTTGGTTTTCAAATATTATCTACCCTGTGACTAATATTTTTTCCAGTTTGTAATTTAGAAACGCATATTTATTAGTAAACATTTTACAGGATTACTTCAGGTATATAAAAATTTAATAAAATAGAAAGGAGTACTTCAAATGAAATTTTTTCTAAATTATTTTAATTATTTTTATAAAAATAATATAAAATTTGACCCACCCTAATATTTGCTAATTATTGTAAGTGTGTTTCTTACCACTGCGTACTCAAAAGTAATATGTGCTAGACGACTAAATTCATACTATGATTTTTTTTGTTTTCAAAAATTATTTTTTCCAGTTTGTAATTTAGAAACGCATATTTATTAGTAAACATTTTACAGGATTACTTCAGGTATATAAAAATTTAATAAAATAGAAAGGAGTACTTCAAATGAAATTTTTTCTAAATTATTTAAATATTTGTATAAAAATAATATAAAATTTGACCCACCCTAATATTTGCTAATTATTGTAAGTGTGTTTCTTACCACTGCGTACTCAAAAGTAATATGTGCTAGACGACTAAATTCGAATATACGGACTTGTTGAATAAAGTACGTAAAATTGAGCTTCTTACAAAGCTTTAGTAAAAATGTGGGTTTATTACACTTGTAAAGAAGAAGACAATTTTTTCGGTAAACATCTGTATAAATATGCATAAATAGCGATGAGAGTATGAACAGCTGTTGAATTTTAAGATTTTATGTTTGAATTAATTGAGTGAGAAAAAATTTTGTCATCTATTAAGGAAGAACAAAGAGTTCTAGAAATAAGTTTCGCCAACTCAATACGAAAAACGCTAACCGGCGTTGATTATAAATTGCGGAAAATGTACTACGCTCTAAAAAGGGGCATGGACGCATATTCTCAGAGTCCTTAGAATAAATAGAAAGTGAGCCAAATAGCGGGATGCTAAACACAGCGAGACTAAAAAGGGGTCTGCAATAGGTTCAACTTGCAAACCTCGGGGAAGGGAAAATACCAGTGAAAGAATTTTAGTGTTTCTCTCTACAATATAGCATTTTTGTGGAGTGAGCTAAGATATTATCCGATAAACTGAAAGTAGTAGATTCATGTCTTATATCTAAGGCTACTAAAGACTATGCTTCGAAGAATCTGAAAATCTATCAGCGGGTCAATCCTATTTGATCTAAAGAAGATCTTTGGAATATAGTAGATTACGAAGGCCTATTTAATAATTCGGTCTGTTTGAAGAAAAAATTATATTGATCTCTTAAAACTCTGTGAGAATTTTTGTGGAGTAGGCTAAGACGTTATCCGAGTAGTAGATTTATGTCTGATATCTAAGTTTAACCTCTGTTTTTTTGTGGTTGTTAGATATCCAACCCAAATACACTAATAGCCGAGGATAATCACAACTGTTCGTATATTTAAAAGCTGAGTTATTTTTAACAACACTAAAGGAAATTTTTAACGAGTTGAACTTGCTTTTGTCACTCGCTTACAAAAAAGGAGTTTTTTTTTTTTATTTAGGGGTAGTTTTAACCGGGTTAAGTGTTCTATTCTCACTCGCTTGAGTTTTAGATGTTAATCGAGTTGAACGTTCTTTTGTCACTCGCTTACAAGAAAAAAGGAATTTTAATCAAGTCAAGAGGCATATTTTTGAATTTAGGGAAATTTTAATCGAGTTGAACGTTCTTTTGTCACTCGCTTACAAGAAAAAAGGAATTTTACTCAAGTCAAGAGGCATATTTTTGAATTTAGGGAAATTTTAACCGANTGAACGTTCTTTTGTCACTCGCTTACAAGAAAAAAGGAATTTTACTCAAGTCAAGAGGCATATTTTTGAATTTAGGGAAATTTTAACCGAGTTGAGCGTTCTTTTGTCACTCGCTTACAATAAATCAGTTTTTTGTCGGCAAAACATAAATAATCTTTTGGTTTTTCTAAACCATAAAACCGGCTATGGAACAGTTATAAAAAGCTCATACAGAATACATTAAACTTAAAGTAATTTTTTCCGAGTTGAGTGATCTTTTGGCGTTCGTTTATAAACAAATTGAACTGTCTACAATACATAAAGAATATTTTTGTTTTTTTGGACTTAAATAATTAATAAGTTATGAAACATTCATAAAAAGCTGTAAAGCTGTTTTACAACAGTTTAAAAGCTCAGGCGTATGCATTGGGGCGAATTTTTGTGAATGACACGGTTTAATCGCCTACATCGAGTTATCACTCCAGTAGCATTACACCAAAATTATTGAAGCAAACAAATAATGTCTCTCAAATAATAATATAAGCATCTAAAGACGAGCTTTACTAAAATAGACAGCGTTTAAAACATCAAAAAATACGTGCACTGTCTACAACCAACAAATTACTCAATAATTCACGTCAACAAATATTTGCTTTCCAAATTAGCATGCTACACAGGAAACACCTTTGCTTAGAGTCGTCAGTTTCTGCAAATTAATAGCTTTTCACTGGTTCAATGGCACGAGCATTGCTTAAGCGCCATTTGGCTACGACAAACACGCTATGTTAACTAGAATGTGGACAAAATTTATGAACTAGAAAAGCAGGTACTTACATAAATACTGGTATAAACAAAGCAGTTACAGAAAGAATATACAGGTAATCTGCATAACGTTACTCACCCAATTCCGCATAGCAGAGCGCACCAACCATGCTCAATGCGCCGCACAATATCCAAACGATCAGCGACTGACCAATCGAGCCGGAGTAGATGAGCACCCCCTTGGGACTGACGAATATGCCAGCGCCAACAATGACGCCCACAATTATGGCAACACCATCGAGCAAACCGATTTGTTTCTTAAGCTTAACACCGGATCCTTGACTCGAGCTGTCGGTTGAGTGATTGTGCAGCGCGTTGCCAGTTACATCGGCGGTCGAATTGACAGGTGTATCGAAGATGTGACGAGGTACGATATTATCACTGGCCTGTATGCGTGCCATGGTGTGAAATATTTTTGATTTTTTGTTTATATTTAAAATAGGTTTAACTCAATTTGAGTTGTTTCACGTGAGGAAAGAGAGTAGCTTAGAAAATAGTAGAGTAGCGTAGTGTAAAGTGCTCTACGAGGTAGGTTGAGTTGTGTGTGTAGGTTTTGTTTGTGTTGCTTCCTTACTTTTGAAGACGTTTCTTAGGGTTGTTTATGGTGCTTCCGTGTTTTGTAGCGCATGCGTGTGCTTCGTGTTTTCTTAAGCTGATTTTTTGTTTACTTTAGCTGTTTTTCTTGTTTCTTATGCAGATTGCTTGCTATTTTTGCCTCCTTTTTGTTTTGACTTTCGTGTTTCTATCGCCACTTTATTTTTACCGGCAATTCGGACGCGCTATTGCGTCAGCCGCCACGCGTTATGCGCTAGATATGCTCAAATGCTTTCACTGCCGCTCTAGCTCTCTGTTTTCAACAGCTGTTTGTTGTGTTTTACCGTTAAAGTTTTGCTGTTTTGCTTATGTTTAGTAAATTACTAGTTAAATGAAACTTTGTTGCTGTTGTTTTCACACTATCTTTTAACACTTATCACTGGTTATTTCCTGTTGGGTTCACTACACGGCAGCGTGGCGCATTCACTCGCTTACGCGCGCACCCCTGTGCGTTATCAGTTTGTCAACGTAGACAAAATTTGCATTTCGTATACGAAAGTTGTTACCTTTTGTCAATGTTTGTGTGTATGTAAATAAGTTGTAGCGCTCACTAAGCGTTCAAAATGCTTGCTGAGTGCTTTAAAATCTTATTTTGGAGGGGTGCTTGGAAAAAAATTCAAATAAATTAATAAAAGGCGTGCTTGGCATAAGAATTCTGGAAGTGAATGACATTTGAACTGTGCTATTTTGTTGTAAATTTTAAATGTTTGTTACTTTTGTCTTTTTTTGTTGATAAAATTTATCAGCACTAAAATTTTTTGATATTTTTTTTTATTT